GCGGGCCCGGGCTGGGGATTCGAACCCGCCACCTTAGGTGTATGTGGCTGGCGCCTTAGCCACTTGAGCCACAGGCGCCGAGCCTGGAGAGTCTTTTAAAATCACTGAGCAGGTCCCAAGTTTGCCATCACTAATATAGAAAATGTAAATATCTACATAACAAAATATCTTTGGTTTTTTTTTTGATACTTTTTATTATAAAAGTAAAAGTGGGCAACATAAAACTAGTGGGATACTTGATACTGTATCTGAGAAACTAATACAGCAATATCTGATTTGATGGGAGTACTTGTGATTCTCAGTGAGTTCTCAGAGTGTTCATCAGATATTTTGGTTCTCACTTTACTCTTAATGTGCTTCATTGTTGAAAATAGTTGCTCACAATGTAGGTGCGGTCAAAAAGTGATGACACAAATAAGGCGTGGTTAAGAAGTGAGGGATATTTGTTTCTGGAAATAGAGAACCTATAAAAGTCCACCAAAAAGACATGATCAATTTTTTCCTTAAGTTGAATGTCAGCTGCAGCTCTATGTACTCCACTTGAAAACCTGCAGATACATATAACATATTTGTGTTGATTGAAAATGGAGTTGCCGGCTTGGCGCCTGTGCCTCAGGTGGCTAGGGGGCCAGCCACATAAACCTAAGGTGGCAGGTTCAAATCCCCAGCCCGGGCCCGCCAAACAACAATGATGGCTACAACCAAAAAAAAAAATAGCTGGGTGTTGTGGCAGGCGCCTGTGGTCCCAGCTACTTGGGAGGCTGAGACAGTAGACTTGCTTGAGCCCAGGAGTTGGAGGTTGTTGTGAGCTGCGATGCCACAGCACTCTACCTAGGGGGACAGCTTGAGGCTCTGTCTCAAAAAAAAAAAAAAAAAGAAAATGGAGTTGCCTATGCACCAAAATATTATTTCCCTGGAAATCTTGCAATCTGTTTTCAAATTCTTCTATCAAATCCAAAAGCAAGGCTGCATATTTTTCACTGTTCACAGGACTGTTGAAATGCATAAAACTGTTTGCCTTAATTGGAGCTTGCCATAATTATAGTCTAATTTAGAATGCTGTTATAATTTGAAACATTATATTGGTAAGTTGGTTTTTACCTTGAAGACGCATGTTTACCTCATTTAAATGAGAGGTTAAATCCACTAAAAATGCTACATCTGTAAGCCAGTTTTCATTGTCAAGTTTTTGTTTTAGCACAAAACAAAAAATTGGCACAAATTTAGTTTTTGATACCATAAATGATGACATGCCGCAAATCATAAAATCTTTTTAACATTTGGGCTTGACTAATCCAACCCCATGGCCCTTACAAAAACCCACAGTTTAGATGATGACTGGCATGACGTCGCCCATTTTAAAAACACTTTATGCATAAATTTTCTTGATATTCTATGCAATGATACTTTATCAAAGGTGAATTTGGGGTGGCAATTTCATCATTTTCTATTAATTTTACAAGTCCTTCTTTTTTACCTACCACTGTTAAGGCATCATCAATAACTAAATCAGATATATTGACAATGAATAAAGAAAATTGCTTTAAAATTATCTTTTACTACTTCATTAAAATCTCTTGATATAGTTCTATCTTTTAATGGCATGAAAGAAGCCATTTCCTTTTTTTTTTTTGAGACAGAGCCTCAAGTTGTTGCCCTGGGTAGAGTGCTATGGCATCACAGCTCACAGCAACCTCCAACTCCTGGGCTCAAGTGAGTCTCCTGCCTCCATCTCCCAAGTACCTGGGACTACAGGTGCCCACCACAATGTCTGGCTATTTTGTTTGCAGACGTCATTGTTGTTTGGCGGGCCCGGCTGGACTCGAACCTGCCAGCTCAGGTGTATGTGGCTGGCGCCTTAGCTGCTTGAGCCACAGGCGCCGAGCCAAGAAGCCATTTCTTTAGTGACATTATATTTGTCATCAATACCTCTAATAAAAATGGCAAGATGAGGTGTATTTGTAGTATCAGTGCTGTTGTCTAGTGCTGTCATCCATTGCCAAAGCATAAAATTTAAAATTATTAGCTTTATTCTCCACTTTTTTTGTTTTTGTTTTTTTTGAGACAGAACCTCAAGCTGTCGCCCTGGGTAGGGTGCCGTGGCATCACAGCTCACAGCAACTCCCAACGCCTGGGCTCAAGTGAGTCTCCTGCCTCGACCTCCCAAGTAGCTCGGACCACAGGCACCCACCACAATGCCCGGCTATTTTTTGGTTGCAGGCAGCATCGTTGTTTGGCAGGCCTGGGCTGGATTTGAACTTGCCACCTTAGGTGTATGTGCCTGGCGCCTTAGCCACTTGAGCCACAGGTGCCGAGCCACTTTTTTTGTTTTTGAGACAGAGTCTCACTATGGCACCCTTGGTAGAGTACCGTGATGTCACAGCTCATAGCAACCTCAAACTCTTGGGCTTAAGTGATTCTTTTGCCTCAGCCTCCTAAGTAGCTGGGAATATAGGCGCCTGCCACAAAAATAGCGCCTGTTTATTTTTTGGGGTAGAGACAGAGTCTCACTTTATCACCCTGGGTAGAAGTGCTGTGGCTTCACACAGCTCACAGCAACCTCCAACTCCTGGGCTTAGGCGATTATCTTGCCTCAGCCTTCCTAGTAGCTGGGACCACAGGTGCCTGCCACAATGCCTGGCCATTTTTCTGTTGCATTCTGGCCGGGGCTGGTGCCCTACTCACTGAGCCCCAGGCGCAGCCCTGTCTATTTTTTTTTCTTTTTGTAGCTGTCGTTGTTTGGCAGGCCGAAGGCCAGTTCAAACCTACCAGCCCAGGTGTATGTGGCTGGTGCCCTAGCTGCTGAGCTACAGGTCCTGAGCCAACTCTCCAAATTTTGTGATAAGATTTCCAATTTCTTCAGTTCTCCTGGCTTTAGTTTGGAGAGACAAACTGATTTTAGAAATATCCTCCTCTTTTTCAGGGTAAATTATATCTGCCATGCTTTCTTCTTTTTTTTTTTTGAGACAGAGCCTCAAGCTATCCCCCTGGGTAGAGTGCCGTGGCATCATAGCTCACAGCAACCTCCAATTCCTGGGCTCAAGCAAGTCTCCTGCCTCAGCCTCCCAAGTAGCTGGGACCACAGGCGTCTGCCACAACACCTGGCTATTTTTTGTTTGCAGCCATCATTGTTGTTTGGCGGGCCTGGGCTGGATTTGAACCCACCACCTTAGGTGTATGTGGCTGGCACCTTAGCCACTTGAGCCACAGGCGCCTAGCCTTAACTAGCTTTTATAATGGGATCCATCTGAGCTGAAAAATTTTAAAAAAAGCTTGTTGAGAAGATGTTTTTCAGTTTCACTATTTTATCCTCACCACACAATCCTTCAT